GTGGGCCAACATTTCTAAAGAATGCTTTCAGCACCTTGCTGAATCAATGCCACGTAGAATTAAGGCAGTTCTGAAGGCAAAAGGGGGTCAAACACCGTATTAGTATGGTGTTCCTAATAATCCTTTAGGTGAGTGTATAAGTATCGGCCAATATTTGTTAAAAATCAAGCCATTGGCATCAGTCCAATGTATCAATCATGGTGGCTGATATTGCTGGACGATGTTTAAACTTTATCGACATTCAAAGTTAGCAGCACCTGAGCTAAAAACACATGTTCTAAACTAATGGAGATGATTGCATTGGACAATCAGCCATTTTCCATGGTGGAGGACGAGGGATTTCATGGACTCAATCACCACTTAGAAGAGGTCTCTAAAAACCAGCCCGCCGCAAGTTTATAATTCATTATTTAATCTGTCCCATGGACCAATCTGTCATTTTGCACAGAATAAAGAAAGCTGCCATGTTACTCCTCTAATCTGTGCTGTATCTGACCTTTTGACAATTTTGCACTAGCATGTTTGACCTGTTTAATAATCACAATAAAAAAATTATATTCTGAGATTCTGCTTTCTTTGTATTCCACTGACAGTATGTATAATTACATTACCATGGTACTATTTGTGATATTGTCACACATACTGGGAAGGGACGACCCACAACACAGCCTATAAGAGGTGAAACCCAACATAGGGGACTTTATTCAAGATGATAAACAATGACCAGACTAGCAAGTGCAGGACTAGGGAGCACTTATATACATGGGGAACACTGGACCTAACACTCAACAGCTGGGAGTAATTAGCTAGGGGGCAGGGACATGTGATGAGGCTAATAAACCCCAAGTGTGGCTCATTAGGGCAACACCCAGGAGGAGACCTGGGGGGCCAGGCTGACCGGCACGGCCTGACAGGTATTTTTTTTCCATTAAGTTGAAAAAGGTTTTAATTTAGGCTTTCAAAGTAATCAATTAGTTGAATCGAATTGTGATAGAAATTAAAGATTTCCAATGCATGAAATAATTCTTTCAGTAGTTGTAATCAAATTGGGTCCCCTTGGGGCTAACGGTTTATGCCCCTGGTATGCCTACGGTCAATTTGCATATTTCTATTTTATAACTATTGTTTTTAACTATTACAAATTTACTAATTTATTTTCTTTACATATTTATTTTACTCACTATAGGGGGCTCTGAGGGAAGCTCATTTCATTGCCTGCATTTACTGCTATTTGCTGTACTGTTGTGCATTTGATAAATTTTGATTTGAACTGCACATTCATCTTGTTCTTGAACAAAGACCAAACTCATTGCATGTTTGCCCCCAAAATGAATGAAATTGTACTTGACATGACTCGCGTTTGATTGTGGAAATTGGTGTTAACACAATGATTTATTTTTATTTTGAATGCCCTTGCTGTACGTGTTGCATTGGCTTGTGTGCTGTGTGTGTTTAAAGAGATAGGGGGTAACGGTCAATAGAGCATTGACAGGTGAAATGACTTGTATCTGCGAAGTAGTTTTCGACATAAAAGCAGACACGATATCTTTCTGTATTAATTAACGAACAAGTTTCAGGTACAAATTTTCAACAAGTATCAAGCAGTATCATGAGTATGGGAAGAAATGCAAGCACTGTCTTCACACATTAACTCTTTAGTTGTGGTGTACGGTTCAGGGGTTTAAATATGTCATTGCACCTTAGGTAACGCTTGGATGTCGTTCACTTCATAGATGGTAAACTGCACTTACAATAGCCATTAAATCACAACCGTTCGCCGCTGATCTACTTCCGAGCCAGTTTGACAGACGCTAGCGGCACTTGCATCCTCCACGCCGCTAGATGGCGGCATCCGCGGTCGCGTATCTGATATGTACATTTTGAATCTAAGTAAAACCCACTCTTCTGGTTTACAGCGTGACAGAAAGATTGCTTAGCAGCACCTTGGGTGACCGGCATAGTAAACTTCTTTTTTTGTATTGTATTTCAAAAATCCCGCATACCCACGAGAAACATTTTACGTTATGGAGGTGGACTGCGCGTCGCTGCTTTCTTGAGCTTCCTGAAATGTTCGCGACAAGACCTACTATTTTCAATTTAAATCGGCTTTTTCTAAGGTCATTAAGCTTGCAGCTTCGTGATTGCCAACTTTGGTCAGCTGACTGTAGTGAGATTTTTAATTTCGAGACAAGTCTGCACACACATGCCCACTTATCCACGTATGTAACAGTTTTATTATCCTGTAAATAGTCTGTAGGTTTTGCGAACTACCCCAATGCTTTCGATGTAACTAACTTTAGGTTTTTTAATGGAATAATATAGATCTGCCATGAGATTTCTAACATGAGCGTGTCATGCCAGATACGTGAGAGTTGGCAACCTTACAACTTTACTGCTTCTACTTTGGCTATTCTACCAGCTGAGACATAAGGCATTGGTATTTCTGGGGAAATAGTGGGAATTTAGGAGGTATTTCTGGGAAAACCATGAAGTGGTCACCTTCGAAAGAAACATACTTAATGCTTAATTAATATTAAACCATTGTGATAATTTTAGCCCGGGCCGTTAAGTCGTTTAGCTACTTTTCTCAGAAGCCCTGTAGACTAGTCATCCAGAGATTAGCTGACCTCGGCTGTCAGCATGGTGAAGTAGCCATACATACCCTGTATGTGTCCAGCTAAGGTTGTTCGGAGAATATGGCAAAACTCAGATATAGCGTGACGTCTCTCTTATTTATGTGTGTGTGTTTTATTGAACCAGGGATTGCCGTCTTTCCTCCAGCCGTAATTATTTTAAGGTAGTGACACTGCATGAACTATGATTGTATTTCTTATACTGTACGTCTGCAAATGGATTTGACTCTCGTCTTTGAATATTAGGTGGCTAAAGTGATCTTTAATCTTAGCAGGATGGGGAACTTTTCGTCTTCACCGGGAAGCCTGTCTAGCGCACAGTGCACCCAGTTAATCGAGGTAAGAATGTTACAATGAAGCCGCGTTTTTATCTAGTCAGTTTTTCCTGTATAATGCATTATATCGCTCTTTCCCTTTTAATTTAGCCAAATGTTTTGGCTCCTCTTTTTTAAACCATCTGCAGGATGTGGTGTCTCATAACTGTGTGGTGATCTTCTCGAAGACCACTTGTCCATACTGTAAAATGGCCAAGAATGTATTCAGCGAAATAGGGGCAGCGTACAAGGTGATTGAGCTGGACGAGCACCGTGATGGTAAACTGCTTCAGGAGGCCCTGACACATATCACAGGTGCAAGGACGGTAAGCGAATGGTGCAATTTTAAGGTGTTGTGAAGAACACAATACTGTATGTTCTCATATTGTAAGTGTTTTGAAACATGCGATGTATTGAGCATCGATTGCAGGATAGGATAGTGAGATTTTCGCCTTTGTGTGGGATTCTGTCTGCAAGAAATACCAGGCCGACACAGAAAACACCACCTACCTGAAACACCCAGCTACTGCCTCACTTATCCACGCGTATTATCCTTCCGGTGTTTATTTTGTATTCTTCTGCATTTTTACTTTTATAATTTAGAGAAATTCTCATTTAATGCCCCAAAATATGTCTAAGGTTCACAAAAGCCAAGTAGTGAGTGCAAAAGGAAAATTTTCGATTTTGTGGAAGCTTGAACTGATATCATGAGCGCAGCAGACAGAAAGGAATCGACTTTGCACATATTCATTGTAGGATTTATATATTCGCTAGCTATTTCTGATTTATACCAGATTTTTTTGCGTAAATTAGCCTTGACCCCCTTTCCTTTTATATCCATGGCGGCAATTTGCTTATTGTGAGGTTTTCCAGGAAGGCAACTGTCACATTATAGGACATATTGTAAATAAGTTAAAACTTCATTGATTTCAGGGGAAACATTTTGACAAATTTGTACATGTAAGATGTAAACTTGAGAATGTTCACTATCGTTATTATTATTATTATTATTATTATTATTATTATTATTATTATTATTATTATTATTATTATGCAGAGGTAAAAGTGATATGTCTTCCCCTTCAGGTGCCAAGAGTGTTTGTCAATGGGAAATGTATCGGCGGCGGCTCTGATACAAAGACGCTCCACGAACAAGGGAAACTGGCCTCCCTAGTTGAACAGTGCGCCCCCTGCTGTGCAAACAGTGAAGGTTCAGGCAGTGGCCATGGTCCATAAAGCTCTTGTAGTTTCTTTGGCAACTTATACAATGTTTTATTTTTATTGTTTGAATTATTAATTTATTCCATTTTAGTTTGGTTTGTCAGTATATTTACATTTTTATGCATACCTGGAACTTCTGGATCATTACTGGGTACAGGGAATAGCACATTTGTTAAGGTCTGACTATTTAGATTTAGTGTGTTTTCCATATTTTTTTTTGTATCCAGTTCTTGTTCCACAAATGGAAAAAAGCATGAATTTAACAAACAGTTAAAATTCACTTGTGAGAGTGATGTAAGTGTTTGGCTTGTTCACACAGTTATATCTTTGTATAAGGAAAAAGGAAGGTGGACTTGTCTCTCCCAAGTGTTTCCCAAGGTGCTATGGTTAATAGCTATCAATTAAAATTCATGCACTTAAATATTGTACATTTTTTCCCGGAACTGTTTCTGCAGTGTATGGTGACTGGGCATGAAGCTGATCCTAGATAAACAGAGCATGGTTAACACAGGGTGGGATTTTACCATGAGTACTACAAATGATTTAGACACCTTATTGCACTGTGGGAGGAAAATTGAGAATTTAAACACAAACGAGCAGATAGGGCTTGGCTGGCAGTCAAACCTATGACCCTGGAGATTTGAATCTGTAAAACCACAATTTTTTGTGCAAATGTGCCTTGTTACAGAATTTGTTATGTGTAATTATTAGTGAAGAGGAATAATTTCACAGGTAGGCATACAGTGGAACCCGGTTATAGTGATCAAGCACTTATGTGGATCAAAAAGCTTGGGACAGAATCATTCCTATACTGTTCAAATAATTTGCTTATAGTAATCAAGCAGTCCACATATAGTTCATTTTGTGTCTTTTTATATGTGACAACATACAGAAAATTAAAAGTATGCTAATTCTGACACTAAGGGCTACTCTTTGATAGATAGGAGGCAGGTAATACCTGTCTCACTAGGCAAGCTTCAGCGTGAGACCTTTGCCCCCCCCCCCCCCGCCCCAGCAAGGGGCCATAAAGGGACCAGTTCCAAATATTGGTATTGAGATAAAAACATTGTATTGGAATGAAAATAAGTGGTATCGTCCATCTTAACTAATTGGTCAAAGGGGGACTCTTAAGTTTTTAGGTGAAAGGGCTGGCTTATGTCTATTTTAAGTAGATAGCCTGCACTTAAATCTGCTCAGAGTAGGTTAGGCACGCAGCATAAATTAGTGTTGCAATATAATCTGTTTAAAAATGAGCTGTGATATGCAAAACTCAGAAGTAATCCTCTAGAAACCTTGCTAAGCCAGTAAACCTGCTTCATAGTACACCTCTTATGTGCCCAGTTAAACCAATACACTAATATCTCGTGTGTGTCCATGTACAGTATGTGTGTGTCTCTGTGTGTGTGTGTGTCCATGTATGTGTGTGTCTCAGCGGGTTAAGACACTTCTCTCATGATTATAAAGCTGCTGGTTCACATTCTGTGGGTGGCAGGATGGTTTCTGTATTGGGCCCTTGAGCAGGAACCTTAACCAGAGTTTCACCAGGTACTGGCTGACCTGCTGTCTCAACTGCACGTCACTATCGGTACAACTGTCTGCTGAATAAATGTGAATATCAATAGAAAAAGGAATTTTCCAGTTATATGTGTGCAGGATGGTTCTCAGCTATACTGTAGAAAGCAAATAAATCTGTACAATGAGTCACCATGCTTGCTGTTAGGATGTTATTGAAGTGTGGGAATTAGCCTGAAATCCGATGTACTTCAACGTAAGCAGCTTTGTCACCAAATGTACTTAGACATGTAAGCAGGACTAGCAGCATATTTATTGCAGATGCTGATCACTAGCTGTGTCACTATAAAATCCTGTATGACTTAATATGCGGAGGCCTGATCTCCCATGTGCATAAATGAATATGAATATGGTGACCTTTGTTCTTATACTAGGCTTGCCCTGGAGAGGGGTAAATTGGACCTATGCCCTCTGACTCTTTTTAAAATGGCTTCAGACCCTTTCTCAAACCTTCGGTGACTGAATGACTCCCTCAATCCTGCCTAGAGATAGAAGATGACATTTGACCCCCACCCCCTCCACCACAGTGCATTAAATGAGGGGTTGCGAATCAGTGATTGCTTGCTAGCTAGTAGGCTGCTGTCATACTGTAATTCTGGCTTGAAGGAGCCTGGATTCGGGGGTGGGGTGTGAATCCATGGGGTTTCCCTCTGTCCCTGCGATCGGAAGAACGCTGGTTCACTTCCTGACCTTGGTAGAATAGTCACGTTGCTTCCGGGCCCTTGAGTAAAGCCCTTATTGTCACGATCGTCGGTGGGCGAACAGGCAAGCAGGGAAAAGGAGCCAGGAAGTCGGGTAAAGGGGGTTTATTCGGGGTAGAGTCCACAACACGGGGTAGAATCAATGACAAGTCTGGGGAAGACAGGTGAGAGCAATCAGGTGGAAACACGGGGTAATGAGGGGGGCGTGGCACACACAAGGATCGGACGGAGCTGGACGTGACACTTATCCTCTTCAAAAAACCCCAAGTGTGCTGTATAAATGGCCAACCCTAATGTCTAAAAGGAGAGCACAACAGGATAATTATGTATACAAAGCATCATTTTATCAACAAAAAAACTTAACATAACTACAAGGTTCCTTATTCTTACTCTGCAGTGACGCCAGAAAATCCATGCTGTATGCTTGCTGGCATTTGGACATACCAGAGGGTTGAGTAGCTTCTAATTGTCATGCTCTTGAGTTCTGGATTCACACGCCAGCTGTGGCTGGGGAGCTGACCCTGTCTGTACCGGCTGAGCAAAGGGAGACTTGATACAGGTGGAAATAATTGGGCCTGCCCATGGTTCTGGCCCAGCTGAAGTCTGAGCGTGGTGTGATTACACTGCGTCCCGTGTTCCTGGCTCCAGCCACCAGCGTTGGATCTCTGAGCACAGTGTGATGTGCTGAAGGTATGTTATTCCAAATATGATGTGATCTTGCTGTAGGGAACTAGGGCACACATTTCTAAAATGCGCTAATAAAAAATGCATGCAACATAAAACCGTTTGACTGGCTAAATATCAAAGCAGTTGCTTTAAAAATATACTGAATACTGGATAAGCAATTAAAGGAGATAGATGAATAAAACATAAATAGTTTTGACCACACAAAAGGTCCTCTAAAGTAAGTCTGATGCATTGTTATAATTAAAGGACACTAGAATTTCAACTAGGTGGAAATTTCCAGGTACTACAGGTGAAAGCTGTTTGATTGCTCGAAAACATTTTGTCCATGGTAATGATACTGCTTCTAACTTAGCACACATAACACATACAGTCTTTACTCTTGACTCCAAAGCAAAGCTTCTTTGTATGCCTCTGTTTCAGTAGGAGAGAAAACTGTTCAGCCAAGGTTAATAGTACATGATAAAGCACCTTACTGCATATAGACAAGCAGACAAATGAAAGGTAGCATGTGCTGTTCACCAAACGATCTAAAATGCTCCACAGTGTATCAAAGCTGACCGGATAATGAGCTCTGAAGTAAAGGCCCTCAGGGTAAAATCTAGCCCTTGGGAGTCTGCGTTGAGGTATGTGTCGTTAATTAACCTGAGTGCAAGTGCTGCCCGCAAAGTAAACACACTCATTATTTAACCGTAGAAGATTCTGGAACTTGGCATCACTGTAGTCGTAGCGATGCTCCTAAATCAGAGTATGTATCACAATGGAAACGGCATTGTGTAGCATCACCATTGGGTTAAAGTATCTGCCTCAAAAGTCAAGAAGAAAACAACACGCTTAATATACACAACTTAAAATATGCAACTATGCAAAGAACAGAGAAAAATTAACATACAGTATACTAAAACAATTGGCAAGAACATAATACAATAATTGATGATACACACTTCAGGCCATGTTATTCGTCACTTCAACTGTGAACAGGTAAAACAGTCAATCAGTTGCTGCTTTTGAGCTTGTGTTTTACTTGCACAAGAATGTTCTAAGGGCAGAATGAAAAATGACTGGTTTACAGAGATAACCAATCGGATTGTAGAGGAGGTGAGTCTAAGCAAGTAGAAGTGGTGGGACCAAGGCATCTAATTGGTTGGTCCCACCTTGTCTACAATCTGGTTATCTCTCTGAACCAATAATTTTTCGTTCTGCCATCTGAACATTTTTGTGTAAGTAAAACTCCCATGAGCTGAAATCTATGACAGGGTGGTATGCAAAGGCAGTTAAAATGGGTTTAGTTTTGACTTTTATGGAGAACAGCAGTCAGTTGTTCGTCTAATGGTGTAAATATATTGAATTGTAAGACCAGATGATGTGTATGTTGTTTGAGATTAAGACTATGATTAAATGGTCAGATGGAAAACTGACATTTTTGTCAAAGAATGCAACACTAATGTGTTGGAGCTAATTTGTATCCAAATAGTTTAATTAAAGTAAAAAGAGGTTACTCGAGGACTTCTTGTGAGTAAATATTACACATGGTCCATATAGAGACCACAGCATTGGTTAATACAGCCTAGGATGCAGGGGGGGGCTCAGTGTTTCCTTTCAGATTCGAGACAAACATAAGTCATGCCAAAATTAGGAGGTACGTAACCCTAATTCCTATAATGGACTGGCATCCTGGCCAGGGTAGGCATGAGCCTTGTGTCCTGTGCTGCCTGGGATAGGGTCCAGAACAACCCTGTCCAGGATAAGCAGTCTGAAGGTGGATGGCTGGATAACCCATATCTGGCATTTTGGGAAAGAAGCTCATCAGTGTCTGGCTGACCATTGGCTGTCATGCATTTGATGTCCACACCACTGTGAAGGCCAGGAGTTTGTGCTTGGCATGCAGTGGGCAAGGTGGCTGGTTCACTGTGCTTTGTGAAACTTCTAGTTAGATTTGACTCCAGATGGGGTTAAATCTGACTGTAGACAAGGTTTTAATCTTTCAGGGACCTAAAGATAAATATTTTCCTCTTTTTATTCATCAATGCTGTCAATAATGCATGGTCAAAAATGTGTGGTCAATAGCTAGCTACTTAGATACTGTGCAATGTAAATGAAATTCTGATGTATACATTCTATGCATCTGGGATGTCTATCCGAATGTCTCATGAACGTCCATACATAGTCGAAGTTAGAAACTAAAGTTGTGTTGTTAATCTTGCATACAAGCAACTAGAGAGAGTACTTGCTGTTTTGAAATGTTGGTGTTTATTTTTGCGTCGCTTTAAAATTGTACCAGTACAACTTGCAAAAGGCAAAACCCAAAACCATCAAAAATGAACACAACTAAGTAGTTACCACTGTACGTCAATCTGAAAATGACTCCAATTAATTAAGGATTTAAAAATTAAGGATATATTTTTTTTTAATAAAACCTAAATGAAAGTCCTACCTTGTCAAAAGTAATAATAGATTCTAAATTATATAGCCCAAATTGGTTTAAATAAAACAAATAAGCAGAATAGTCTCAATCAAAAAATAACTGACCACAGAGTAAATTGTAATCTTTTTCTGTATGCATTTAATATTGATTTTTAAAAATAAATGTAATACAATAGGATAAATTATAACTCTGTCGTTACATTTTTACTGCATTGAATATATATTCAGTCAGGGTAGAAAAAACTGTTGATAATGTATACACTGTATTTTTTGTTGTTGATAATGTATATACCATATTTTTTTCTTTTAAAATGATGTGATTAAGGATTGGCAGGAGCCTAAACATAGGAAGCACAAATGATTTAGACACAAGACAAAGTATTTGGAATGAAGGGGAAATTGAGACGAACATTGAGGGAATACTTCCCCCACCCACCCTACAGGAATCGAACCCACAGCCCTGGAGTTTTGTGGCCAAAAATGTGAGTTCCATCACTCCCTAGCTTGGTACTATATGCAATTACATTCTTATAAACAATCAAACACAAAGGAATTCTTGAATATTATGAAGTTTTTTTTTTTCCAAAAGGATAAGTTAGGATTGAAGGACAGCAGGATAGCTGCTTGGGTAGCACCGGTACTGGGCTGGGCTGGGCTCTGGGTGGCTCTGGATATCACCTCTGCTTGGTGTACATGTGCAGCGTTCATCTTCTCCCTGCATCGTCACCAACCACAAGGACTCCAGAAACGTGCTGTTAGACTGTTTGGCTAAATTGTCCATAGTGTGTACTTGGGATAATCTCCACCCCTCCCCCATAACTTTGATTAGGATAAGCAGTCGCAAGATGGATGGATATTGTGATTGAAACTTAATTTTAAATTTCATGCAGGTAAGGCATTTAATTAAATGGAATATTAAAAATAAGATTGGTAATTTTCAAAATCAGATACAAGTGAAGTCTGGCTTAAAAAGTTCTTTTGGATATAAAACTGATTTATGCGCATAGACTTTGTGCATAAATTTGCAGCAAGCTCATTTAATGGAAAGTACTCAAGCAAAGGTATTAAATTGTTTTGCTTAGATGGACCAGGGCAATCTACTCACATAACAATATAAACCCCACTGAGTGCTAATTGGTCAAGAGATACTTCATATGATAATGTGGAAAAAATACAAAGTAGCTTTTATTTGAAAAGCCTTCTAATCTTTGATGCCTCCAGAATTTTAAACAGTGCATCCAATTGCACATTTTTACTAATAAATATAAAAAACACTGAAGAAGGTGCCATGGTTCTGTTGGTAGCCCTGTAGGCTCAGGTCTTCCCATGTTCTTCCCATGTTCTTCCCATGTTCATCCCATGTTCATGTGACCTGTGTTAAAATTATTAGAAAAACACAACTACCTACCCTTTTCCATGGAAGTACTTCAGACACAACACTGCATTAACTAATGAGGGCCTTACTATTTTATTTTGAGATAATAGTAATAAAACAGTAATAACATCCATCCATGCATCCATCCATCTTCTAACTGCTTATGCCTGTCAGGGTCGTAGAGACTGGGCAAACACACACTAATGGAAGTAATCTGAAATATGGCTATGGCTATAGCACCACTAGATGGCAGTGTTCATCTTTTAAAGATGGAATCTGGAATTTTGAAGGAAAAAAAGAGCAAACTTGCACCCATCCATCTTCTAACTGCTTATCATAGTCGGGGTCATGGGGGAGCCTGGTACCCATTCCAAGAAGCATAGGGCACAAGGCTGGGGTAAGACCCTGAACGGGATGCCAGCTCATGACAGGGCACACATGCACAATCGTACTTTAGATACGCCAGTTAACCTAACTACATGCCTTCGGGCTGCAGGAGACAACCCACACAAGACAGGAAACGGATGCCAACTGCACATGCAGAATGCTGGCGGCATTCAACCCCCCAACTCTGCGGGAGAAACTTAGCGGGCCGCAATGGCGGCCATGCGGACAACAGGAAACATGATTCGATCCGAACTGACTGAGGATCGGATGGTCATACTGCTATCTTGATAATAATAATAATAATAATAATAATAATAAGTATAATAATAAGTATAATAATAATATAGTAAAATTATTATTATGTGATACACTGTGTTCTAAACCATTTTCTCATCAGTCTCTCCAACATAGAGAATGACGTGTAGCAAAGCTGATTTATAGATAGCTTACTCTGTTTGTTTTCTCTCAGATGTCAACAAAAAAACAGGAACCAATTGACAATATACACCTTTGAAAGCTATGTAAGACACGTACCACCCCCAGTCTCTGTGTTCCCAAGATCTTTGCCGAAATGTACTTTCTATGGCATTTAAGGAGAAACTTCATCTTTGAGGAATACAGATTAATGATGAGTACAGGTGTCTCATCCAGGGTGTCCCTTGTCTTTTTTCCTTTGGTTCGTGGGATAGTCCCTAAGCTCACTTTTAAACTGTACTCACTAAGCACTTATGGGAAAAGGATGGGTGTTTAGAGGTTCACTGTGGATATTCATTCACCGTTGGGCTCTTGGGGAACGCCCTTAATCCCCAGCTGCTGTAGT